CACCTGATGAGCCATACAATTAAATGTGAATGGCAGGGCTCCTTCCTTTCCCCGCTGCATTGATCATGGGTATGAGGGAGTCGCTGTGGGTGGACTCGAGCCTTGCCCAGCTAAGGAGAGTTGGCTTTAAACCTAGACTTGCAGGGCTGGGGGAGGAATGGAAGAGACCCGGAGACAGTCATTTCAGTTCCTCTGGGCTGTTGTCTCTTTGCTTGGAGCACCTATGTTAATATTCACAAACGAGCCTCCCTCCTCCCAGCATTTCTCTCTTCTGCACTCTCCCTTTCCTAGTTGTCTCCTCCCTGTTCTGGCTTTTCCCTCCTCTTTCCCTTCCTCTAGAGAAGCTGCCGGCAGACAGCCGTGGCGCTCCTCTTGTGGTCTCTTGGGCTGTTTGTTTGGCCTGGCCCAGCCTTCGTAGCTGCGAGGGGGAAAAATAGACCCCCTTGTTCTTTGGGGCGAGACACAATCAGGAGCCCCGGGGCTTCACAACCACCACCTCCTCCAGCTTGGCTGCAGCTGACCCCTCACTCCTGTGCTAACCCATCTAATTTGGGCAACTTACAGTCAAGACAGAAGAGCTGGAACAGCAAGTGGGAGAAGAGGATTCAGAGAGTTCATCTTCATGCATAATGTAAAAGGAGCTCAATTAACTTTCTTTTTCTGTGTGCATGCACACGTGCCAATCAGCTGGCTGCTGTTTGGAAGCTGATTGTTGCGTGCACATTAACGGCAGAAACCAGGAAGACAATTAGGTGAGGCCTGGCATGCCAGGTGACACAGCTCTGCATGCCACCTGTGGCACGTGTGCCACCTGTGGCATGCATGCCATAGATTCTCCATCATGGTGCTAAACCAATCTGTATTGTTCAACTGTTTGGAATCCCTACCATATATCATCAGTACAATCGAGCGGATTCAGAAATATTTCATGAGGAAAGTTTTGTACTCTTTTGTACAACAATAGAATTCTCTATGCTACCGTGCTTCCCTGAAAATAAGACAAGGTCTTATTTTCTTTTGACCACCTGAAATAAGCACTTGGCCTTATTTTCAGGGCGGTCTTATTATTTTTGAGCTGCAGGAGGCAGCGAGCGTAGTCACATCATGGCTGCTGCTGTGTTACAATATTTTCAGGGAGAGCTTATTTTGGGGGGAGGGCTTATTTTAGTGCATGTGCTCAAAAGCCTGATTGGGCTTATTATCCAGGGAGGTCTTATTTTCAGGATACTAGGCTCAAAATTCTTGGTTTGGATGACAGAACTCCCTCTTTCTTTCTTTTTCTCTCTCTTTCTTTCTCCTTTCGCTCCCTCCCTCACTCCCTCCCTTCCCGATTGTCAGAAGCTTTTATTTTTACTTGTTAAAGTCTTTTTTCCCTGCTGGTTCAGGCAAACCAGCAGGGGAAAAAAGACTTTAAAAAGGAAAAAAAAGCTTCTGAGGATGCCAATAGAACTGGTTCGGGGGGGTGGCCGGACAAATTACTATCTACTCAGCCAAACTGGGCTGAACCTGTAGGAACCCACTTCTCGTATCAACTATATTATTTCTTCAAGGAATAAATAGCAGTTCTACCATGTTTTATATACAACAAAGAAAATATATTTATTTCTCAGGTGTCCTGAAAATTTTGTTTACTTTTCATTTAACCTAGCATTTCTTTTTTTTTTCTTTTTCTTTTTTTGGTAGGTCATAGACAATTAAACCAAAGGTGTGATGTTGGGGCAGGCAGATGGTTCCCCCTCCCCCCAAAAAGCAAAGGGCCCTCATCTTGTTTGAAGAGACACAGAAGAAGCTAAGATTGAAATGATAGTTTTTGTTTTTTCTACCAGTACAGCCTTTTATCCAGTATTAGGGAACTGGGGAAAACAGGAAGACTCCCCTCCCCATCTCTCCTCCCCTCCCCTCTTTAATTTAAAACATCTTTAAAAACAATAGCATAGCTGGAGAGTGACATGCTTTTTGCCTGTTCTGCATGATATTCTCTATTCTAGGTATGTTGTAATTTGAAAATTGAGAATATAAACAACTTTCAGTACATTACCTTCCTGCTTTATAAGGGGTAGCACAGATCTCCTACTAATGCACATAGCTTTGCTGGTCAATTCTCACTTTTTTGCTGATATTTTCCAAAGAAAAATAGAACTATTGATGCTAAGCCTAATGCTTTCATATCATGTGAATTAAGTGATATATGTAAAAAGGAAATATTAACAGTATAAAATAATGTGTTTCTTTCAGAATTTGCTTGATTATGAAACCATTGCATTCCTGTTCTGCTTACTGATATTTCATAATTGTTTTGGCCACTTTTTGGTTTTTCTTAAGGGTTGTTTTTCTTTGGGGCTATATAACTGTCTTGGACATTATATTGTAATATAAAAATGTTCTGACACTGTAAGCAATGGTACTATTAAAAGCTGGAACACTTTTAATAGAATTTCTGATTATGCTGCTAGCCAGTTCAATTTACTAAAGATTTTTCTCATTCTAAATTGATTAGTTTTCCTACAATGTTGTAATTTCTGCTATCAGATCATTAACTTTGCAGAAGTTCATAGTAGCAAACATTTTCTCAAAAATAGTGATTAACTCATTCTGACTGATGCTTGGGCTTATACTTTTGACACTTCCTTTCATAGAAAATAAATAAAAATTATAACAATGACTAAAATCCCATACAGTGTTTTGTCATATTTTTGACAAATATTTGGTAACTGAATGGAAGGAAACATAGAAAACTGACAGCAGAAAAAGAGTAGTAGTTCATTGAGTCTGCCCTTTGGTTATTATTTTTATTTTAAATTAATTAGTTTTTTTTTTAAAAAAAATTGCCAGATGATGGATATGTGTTATTGAACATCCCAAGAATGTTTAAACTCAGTTGCTGAAGGCTGGTCCACTACCTCTACTGGAACTTGGTCTCAGCTTCCACTACTCTTTCTGTCAAGTAATTTTTCTTAACAATGCTTTTGAATTTTTTTCCTATCAGTTTAAGGTTTTGCCCCCAGTTTTTTTATTTTGGCTTATTATTGAAAATACTGTCTTCTAGAATCTTATTTACACCCTTAATATATTTAAATGTTTCAATGATGTCCCCTCTTTGGTCCCCCAGGACAGACATATTCTTTCCTGATATGTTTTGCAACAACAGCGACAATAATAAAAACAGTTTGATATTCCAAAATGTCACAGTATCTTGTGCTGTGAACAAATGGTCCTTTCTAGAACTTTCAAAAAGAAATAATATAAAGTCAAATACTATAATTAGAACTTTCAAATTTTTAAGGCATGCAGATCTCAGAATTTATAAATATCTGAACCAAGTTATTTGTACCACTGACATTAATAGAAATTGAATTGTTCTTACAATTGTTTTATTAAAATTACAGTGTCCATGTGGTCTTTGAAAAATTGAAGAACACATCTGAAAAAGATATAAGTGCATTTCAAATATGCATCTCAGAGGCCAGTATTCAGTAGCCCTTAGATTTGTATTTCCACATCTTCATGCTCAGTCTGCAGACTGTATATAGAACTGATAAATGATTAGGATAAAGTTTCCAAATCATCATATTAGTCCAATTTGCAAAATAATGAATTCTTATTGCTATTATCAGTGATGGCTGAAGACATAATTATTAGAATTTAATGTTAAGAAAAGAAAAAAAACAGATTTTTGTCAAGTCAGATTTTGATAGCAATATATTTTGAATTATTGAATGCAATCTATGAGTCCAAACAATAAGATTACAGAAATATTTAGTGCAGTTTTGGAGGGAAATCATAAAGTTCCTTTTGTAGTATTTGTGATATTTTTATTTTTTGTTCCCAAATAAAGGACCATTATAAAAGCACTTATTTATTTCTTAAATTTATATGCCACCCATCTAACTGTCAAGTGAGTCTGGGCAGATTCTCATGAGAATGAATCAGAATCCAGAAATTGCTCTTGGTCAGTCATGGACTTTTTTATACTTTCAAGAAAAAAGGCCTTCTTTCTTTAACAGGATAATACCACAGCAATGTAAATAACAATTTTCTGCCTTTCATGACATCCAAAACCAGCTCCCTCGGGTAACTTTCTCATTTTGTCTAATAGGATCTCTTCTGACAAAGACCTCTGGTTTTCCTATTCCAGTACACAAAGGAACACTTGTGTGTGCCATATGAAATTGAAAACTGGAAGTGGAACTGGAAGATTGAGTAAGGTGACCAGACGTCCTGCATCTGGTGGGACAGGCATGCCTTCTCATGATTTTCCCCGCATCCTGGGCCGTTCTAGAAAAAACCCGCTTTATTTTGGGGCTCGCTCGCTCATCAGCTGCCGCTAGCTCGCTCGTTCGTTCCCCCATCTATTTCTAAAAANCTAACAAGAATAACTGAGGAGTAAACTTTATCCTTTTTTAAAGAATATTTTGTATAATCCACCATATTTTTATCCAGAATGCCTTAACCTTTTGGCAAGTCCACCATATATGGCAAGCAGGAAAAAGCTGCCCCGGCGCTATGTCCAACATAGAGGCGGGACACCTCTATGTTGGACATTGTGTTCCGCCTCTATGTCGGACATAGCGCCGGGACGGTAGGGCAGCTTTTGCGTGCTTGCCTCACCAGCCATAAAACCTCACCGCACGTCACTGGCATTTAAGTATCCTGATGTTTTAAAATTGTATTAAACAAGGTGAAAGTGTAATTATATTCTGAAAGAACTTAAAAGTTGTGTTTTTAGCCTCAAATTCAGCAAGCAGGATTTTAAGTTGTAGGGTTACCTCTTTAAACACTCTACAATTCAAGAAAGTGGTGGAGCCTAAAAATAAGAAAGATGGCCCAAAATGAATAAAATATGAATCTCAAACTATGATGTTGAAACTATTCATGGTTTTAGAAATACAATTCAAAGAACCAATTATGTATGTATGTATGGGATACACACACACACACACACACACACACATTCATTGACTAAAATATTTTTTAAAAGCTTTTCCTTCTGTTTCTTTCAGGATGAGATGGGTATTGCTTGTGAATTGTTGGAACCGGACTCAGACTTCCTTAAGTGCAGTGTGGGCTTTCCCTTCATGAAATCTAAATCCAAGGTATTGCTTAATGGTTTCCTACAACAGTGAGTTTCCCTGCATAGCAAAGAAATATGTGGGAGGGGGAGCTTAGTGCTCTTTGAGCTTACTTGTTTTTTTGCGGGTGTTTCATTACTCAAACTAGGTAACATCATCAGTGCTAGAAATCTGTGGACCATAGATGACAGATAATCTTCACTTACCGACTGCACTTGGGACAGACAACTAAGCAACACAGTCATTAAGTGAAAATGTATATGACTGCCAGTCTGTGATATCAGTTCTGGTTGAAGTGGTTAAATGAATCACAATGGGTAGTTAAATGTGCCATCACTCGTCTTAAGGCTTATTGGCTTCTTCATTTATTTTGCTTGTTGGAAGCTGGCTGAGAAGGTCTCAAATGCCAATTGCATGATCATGGGGTGCTGCCACCATACTATATGTGTGCCAATTGCCAAGCACTGAAATCATAATCACATGACTGCAGGGGCACTTTGACTGCTGAAAGTTCAACGATCGGTTGCAAATCTCATTTTTCAGCACTGGATTCTTTTTTTTTTCTTAGAAGGAGCTGTTAATTTTTCCCCATGAGATAAGATTTAGGAAGAGGACAGTGACAATTATTCATAACCACAGAATCCTAAAGAAAGTTGTTTAGGAATTCAAATAGGAATCTTTTTTAGCTGCCAGAAAATGATTCTGTAAAGCTATCCTTGGCAAAGCCTTTAAAGATGGTGGTCTACTATTGGTGTTCCTAGTTGCTCAGCCATGTTTTGTACTTTTGCTTGCTATTCAAAGGATTTAAAGGCCAGATAAATATAGCACAGAGCCAATAAAATTTTTTTTTTCTTTTCAAGTTATATTTGTTGCATAAATAAACTGTGGAGATTATACTATTATATTTTGACAGTGTTTCTGAATGTTTTGAAGCTTAATTCTGTTTTGGATCAGTTTAAGAGACTTTGCTCCTTAAGGTATAGTAACAAATAGCACCCATACTCCATTGTCAATATGCAAATACCAAAAGGCAAGAAAATTAATTAGATAAGTCTTTAGCATTGTGCTGAAATTAAAAATTAACTATCTTTAAATAGTTCCAATAATTGGACGTAATTCTGTATGTCTCCAATTGAGTCAAATCATTTTTTGATAATCATGACTAGATTTTCATTTGTTGTTGTTGTTGCTGTTGTTGGTCACTTTTTATCCATGTCACTTCAGTTTAGGAAGGAAAATGAAATTAATACTACAGCAGGTTTTATTACTTCATTACTTTAATACTTCAGAGGTCTGTTGCTTCAGGGGAATCAGTAGTGGCTGCGGCGGGAGGCTCTGCCCATCCACACATACGCTCACGAGCGAACCGGTAGTAAAATAAATTGCAACCCACCACTGGTTTTATTGCAGTAAAATATGTAAGTTGAATTTTGGGTGTTGCCTCACTGTGACATGTCAGTGATAAATATTTTCAGTATACTACTAAAATATTAATGAGTATATTCAGATTTTATTATAAAATTGTAAAATCCAGATTACATTATTTGTTTTCCCAAACATTTCAAAGATGAACCTCACAGTTGAAGCACAATAGCCTTGACAGGCTTACAAAAATAGTCCTGATTTGGTATGTTAGCTAAATGACAACACCGCCAATCAGCTTTCTGTGGGAGAAGCCAGCAGGAAAGTAAAATCTGTTGCTCCTATTCCACTTTTGAATGATTAGTATCTATTTTACACTATTTGTGTGCAATGATTGAATTCAACTGGCAAATCCCTTGCTGATCAGCATACATAAATTTACAATGCAGCTGTGAGTCAGCCACACAAGTTTTTTCCTTGTGTTTATTATGTCTAGTCAGAGTTGAGCATTTACACAGAAAGATATCAACATATGATATCTCATCTTTGAGAATGTATAGAGATTTCAAATCTGGAGTATGAGTAAATGGATTTGAATATATATTTTTGGAAAAAATGCAACAATGCAATGAAAGGAAGATATTCAAATAGAAATCATGCTTATTTGAATATTCACAATGTGCTAAATGTTGCTTTCTGTTTCCCTTAGTATGAATTCAGCGTCATTTTTGACACAAGCCATTTGTCTGGGGAAGAAGAAATTCTTTCATTCCTTGTATCTGCTCAGAGGTAATACAGATTTCACATTCAATTTCCATTGTTGTGGCACATTGGGGCTATGTCTGTGACCTAACACATGACTTGTTTACATGCCTGGGGTTGGATAACAAATGTATAGCCTCAGAAGTGAAATCAATACATGGCAATTAGGGTCTATCAGTGTCATTTGCAGTAGGTTCACATTAAAAATAAATGCCAGTTTATACTCCAAGCAATACAACACTAGATGATTATACCTATCAGTTAGATTTGCCATACTATTCCACTGTAGTAGTCACAATCCTAAAACTTTCTCAGAAAAAATAAAACTAAGACTAAAGTTCCCAGAGTTCTCAGCTTCTATAGACAGGCAGAAAATGCTGACAACCCAAACTCATCTGAACAACAGTGCAGTATAAAGCTATTTTGAGGACATTATGTGAAATTAAAATAGCATCTTGTCTAATTTAATGCTAATATCCCCATACCAATGGACATGGAAACTTTTGGGACTATGTTGTCCAAGATTCCCTGATATAAGAAACTTCCTTCAGTAATAAGCTATTGCTCTTTATTGATCCTAAGGAACTAAAGAGAGATTATAGTCAGGTATATAGTATAGTGCTTTGCTTCAGTATTCTTATGTCAATGAAATATAATGCAAAGAGAATATAGTATTAAAATATGCATGCTCATTAGGAGGAAGGCTGTGGCAAATCTAGACGAGAGGTGAGTTTCTGCAGGTTCGCCCTGGATTGGGTGAACAAGTAGTGGCAGCAGAGGGAGGCTCTGCCCACCCACCCAGATACATCAGTGCTTACGCAGAAGCATCGCACAAGCATGCGAGTGTATGCATGAGTGAACCAGAAGTAAAACAAATTGAAACCCACCTCTGATCTAGAGAACATATTATAAAACAGAGACATTACCTTGCCAACAAAGGCCTATATACTCAAAGCTATGTTTTTCCAATAGTATTTTATGACCATAAGGAAGATTGAGTACCAAAGAACAGATGTTTTCGAATTGTTGTGTTGGAGGTGACACTTGACACTTCGAACTGTAAGAAGAACAAATCAGTCAATCCTAAAGGAAATCAATCTTGACTATTCTTTGGAAAGATAGATATTGAAGGTTAAGCTAAAATACTTTGACCACCAAATGAGAAGGAAGGACTCATTGGAAAATAGCAATAGCAATAGCACTTAGACTTATATACCGCTTCATAGGGCTTTCAGCCCTCTCTAAGCAGTTTACAGAGTCAGCATATTGCCCCAACAATCCGGGTCCTCATTTTACCCACCTCGGAAGGATGGAAGGCTGAGTCAACCCTGAGCCGGTGAGATTTGAACAGCCGAACTGCTGAACTGCAGTCAGCTGAAGTAGCCTGCAGTGCTGCATTTAACCACTGCGCCACCTCGGCTCTTGGTGTTGGGAAAGATTGATGGCAAAAAAAAAAAAAAGATGGCAGAGGATAAGATGGTTAGATAGTATCATTGATGCAGTGGCAGGAGTTTGGGCAGACTCTGGCAGAGGGTGGCGGACAGGGTGCCTGGCCTGCTATGATCCATAAGATTGCAAAAGGTTGGACATGAATAAGTGACTGAACAACAACTAAAGCTTATTTTTAAAGGCTATATTTTTCTTTCGATTTCTCTCTGAGTCTACCAAAAGATTTATTAATGGGAGGGTTGAAAGAAGGCTTAAGTATAGATTATTTCAGGGAGCATATATATCATATTAAATCTAAAATTAGCTCTACTTAGTGCATACTACTTGATTTTTATGGGTGTTCTCCAAGTATGATTAAGTTTGGAGTCAATGATTAAGTGCTTTTAGAAATCCTTTCTTCATTGTAAATAAAACCCAGCAAATATCTTAGCATGATGATTATGCTGGGAAATTCCTCAGGGAATTTCTGTCTCATCAGAATGTGTCCCAGGACATGTATATTTGCCTTCATTCATAATGGGTTAGTGTATTAATTGTAAAAATATGCAGAAAAGCAGACCACTTTAGATAAGCCCTGAATTTAAAAGAATTATCATATGGAAAAATATAAGTTGAGAATAGTGTTATATAAATCAGCATGTTTTGATGATTGACATTGCTAATCTTAAAATGGCTTATTCTCTGAAGTCCTCCACTTTATATATTCAAAATGGCTCTTCTTGTATTCATTAGAATGACATCCAGAGGCTCTCCTTTTGGATATTTTCTTTGTAATTTATACAGTACCTCACTTTACACCACTGGCTACATTTATTGTAATGATAATTTCACTTGGGCCCAAAAATATGCTTTACTTGCAGCCAAATTGCTAACATCTAAATTAAGAAAAAGCAAACAGATTTGAAATAGAGGTAATTAATCAGTTAGTCCCCTGTTCAGACCAGTGAATGAAAGCAAAGCATGCTTTTCATTCATGCTTTATTAAGATCTGCCATGCAGTTTCTTCAAAAATGACCAATGTATTGGCTTAATCTTTTCCATTCTGTCATGACTTAGGTTGAAGGATAGGAACAATTTTTCAATTTCCAGCTAGCCTAAATTGAATGTCCAGATTTTTTTAGGTTATATATTACTTCTTAAGCCCTTCAGATGCAATCAAATTTAGAAGTCATGCAGTTTATATATCATATCATGGATAATACAGTTATATTTGTCTCTGATGATACAGTTGGCTGGAGATGTTATGAGTAGCCTGCTTCCTATATGTCCAGTGGTGGGTTTCAAAATTTTTTAGATCCTATTCTGTAGATGTGGCCTGTTTTGTGGGGGGTAGCTTGGCAGTCATGTGACTGGGTGGGAGTGGCTTGGCAGTCATGTGACTGGGTGGGAGTGGCCAAGTCAATGTCACTGAATT